GATAGTACCTAGTACTAGAACGCTGACGTAATTTGCAGGAAACTTTGTTATTGCAATTTCATATTGTAAGTATCATTCGCGAGAATTCGAAAGCCATTGGCATTCTTAAAAAAATGTTCGCTTCGACCTTTCAGTAAAAATGAAACCACTTTTATACAACTTTATTTTCTTCACACCTGAATTATTGTCATCTGGATTGGAAAACCACAATATTAATCAACATAAACAATCTTCATGTCCTCCAGAAAAAAGTCCACACGGAGTATCTTCAATGTCTCATATGATTCTCATACACAGCCCCTTTTTAAGGCTCTGCATATCATTCCAGTTACCCACCTCTATGACTACACAGTAATTTTAACATGCGCAGTGACCAGTAAACTGTACAATCCTTTCTTTGAAAAAATCGCTGGTCTAGCACGAAGTATACATTTTATATTATAGTAAGGGTGCAGGCGAGCTGGAGAATGTTAACCATGTTCAATAAACCTAAAACTGGGGCAGAAGTGACCATGCAAATATGTTCCAAAAGACAGGGGTAGTCATATTGAAATGAATTTCCACTGGCTTAACACAACAAGAAAAAATATATGACAACAACACAGACGTTTCGCCACCTATCGGGGTGGCATCATCAGTATGAACTGGCCCGTTGGTGGTGAGAGTCGAAAAACCAGTCGACTTTAATCTAACAAGTCCCAGTAAACGTCCCGTAGGGGGCCCCGGTTTGTGTTGCACGCCTTAGGATCCCGGCGGAGAAACCACGATTCCACGAACTTTCTCGTGCAACACAAACCTGGGCCCCCTACCGGACGTTTACGGGGACTTGTTAGGTTAGAGTAGACTGGTTTTCTGACTCTCCCCACCACCGGGCCAGTTCATACTGATGATGCAACCCTGATAGGTGGCGAAACGTCTGTGTTGTTGTTATATTTTTTTTGTTGTTGTTGTGTTAGGCCAGTGTAAATTTATTTCAATAAGAAATGAACATATAAGTTGATGGAACAGAAAAGAAGAGGACGACGTCTCAACTCAGCAAACAGAGCTGAGTTTGAGACATCGTCCTGTCCTTTTCTTTTCCTTCGACTTATACGGTCATTTCTGCCTCAGTGTCAGGTTTATTTAACATACTATACATTTTATCCCACTCGTAGTGAGGATGTCAGGAAGGTACCATAGAGCAGAACAAGCTATGGGACAGAGGTGTTGAGACACCACCTCCCACCATTATTAAATAATCTAAGGAGCAACGACTTCACCGTAGAAACACAAATACCTCGTGCCTTGAAACATATGTCTTTGCAGCTCAATTATGTTTGTCTAGTGCCTTATGATACCGGTGTTTTATTCACCGATTACAAATTCCTGCATGCTTCTTTCACTCGTCTTCCTGCTCATGATTATTGATTTTTTTTTTACATTTTGTGACACTTTGCTTATCCGCCTCTACCAAAAAACAAGGGGTGGGGCCCTTCAAGCCAACATGTGTTGGCTTTTTGCCCATGCCCCTGTCATATGTACATATAGATGATATAAACAGATTCTGATATCAATACAAGATTGATTACAAGATGTGACCTTAAGGCCAGAAGGCCGATGCCCTTAACCGCTTTCCAGTAAACATTCCCGAAGAAGAAGCTAAAGAGTTGCCAAAATATGCGCGCTCGCTTAAACAATTAGATGAAACCGTCCACTCCGCTAAAATACTGCAGGGACTGACTTCTGAGGATCGGCTGCTGTCGATGGTTAAAGCCAATATGTTAGACGGGTGAGCAAGGCAACTAGAAGATTACGATCCGCGGATGCAACTGTATTTTTACAGGAAGCTGTAACTGGTCGCGGCCCAGGACTCGCTCTATGGGGACATCGAGTCGTCGTACCTCTGGCTGTCCAGGGCTCCAATTGCTACACCAGACCCATCAAGGATCCTCGGCAATGAAGGCGGTCGTGCGGACGCTGTTCTGATAGCTGGGCCTCGACGGTCCGATCGAATAGCTTTCGCAACAATGCAGTTAGAATATCCAGGCACAGCCTACATTGCTGTCAAAGATCCTGTCAACTTGTCGGAGACTGGCGAGAAATGGTCACGGGTTCACCTAGACTATGCGGGGCCAATAACTAAGGTCATATTGGTCGCTGTGGACTCGCACTCCAAATGTATAGAAGCTATTGCCATAAGAAATTCCATCGCAGGTTCCACAATATCTTCTGTACGCCAAATGTTGAGGCACTTCGGAATTCCGAGGGCCGTCGTGACAGACAACGGAGCCCAATTTACGGCAGAATTGTTCTCGCTGTTCCTCTCCCCCAAAAGAAAGGAGCAAACCGGGACAAAATACCCGAAGTTAACTCCGTTTTCTTCCTTTATGCCCCTTCTTCCTTTTTCCATACCAGCCACGGTCTAATGGCCTAGCGGAAAGAGCTGTCAGAACGATTAAGGACGGCCTGAAAAAAGGTCAAGCAAGGCGGCTTATCAACGCGTCTGGCAAAATTACTATATGCATACGGACGGACACCCCTACCAGACGGCACTTCGCAGTTACCGAGACCTCTGGGCTTCCAGATTATATCCCGTGTGGACTCGTGCATGCTGCCCCCTGTCAATTCATCCACGCCTTTGCAGGAATCACACTGCAAGCTGGTCGGAGATCTAGTATGAGAACGAAGCGTTGGAGAAGGGCAACGGTGATTATCAAGAATCGTAACTACAACAACCGGCGGCCGGATGGTCCTGGTGGACACACCGCTGGGAGATGCGCAACTTCGCACAGGTCAGAGCCGTTCTCGAGAGCTACCAGCACACCAAGCATCAGACACGACGCAAGAAATATCCCCCGAAATTCGTGAAGATGCAGCGGATGATCCAACTCCTGAACAGCCAACTACGGGTATAAAGCAACAGGAGGAGCTGCACAGATGTACCAGAGCAAACAAAAACGGTAGTGCGTTATTCACCCTAGAGGGAAGAAATGCTGTGTTGTCGGAAGCTGTATCATCTCCGAATGACAATATGTACTTGCAATCAAATGCCAGTGTAGTTATCATCACTATCACTTTTGTTCTGTTCTGCTGCCAATTTATAGGGCTGCCTATATAAACATGTGCCTGATAATAAACCGTGTTCACAACCTACCACGCCTAAATGGCGTACGTCGTAGCAGTTAGTTCCTCACCCTCTTTAGATGTGGAAAAGGAATGGTGTTTCAAGTTCGTAATAAAAGCTAGATTAAAAGGTATAAAACTACAAAAATGGCTGTGGTGCTTTTTTTTGAAAGCCACTTAATTGGGCCCTTGTACCTCCTAATGAAAAATAGGCCAATCCGATAAGTTAAATAGAATAGCCGCCAAATTAACCACTATTTCAGTTCCTAGAACACCACACGTAGCGGAATTGATTAGCCCGTTGAACGGTCCTCACCCTTTTATCTTATCTAAGTTAGTACTTACCACTATGTTGGTTCCTTGATGTTTCTACACAGCATCGCAATTATGTTACTAAAACGTTTCCCAAAAAACGTTTTGGGCCCCGCCTCAAGATATCCTGCAATATAAAGTATTGTTTCCGAGAAAAAGAAAACGCGACATTCGGTGTTCATTATTGACCCATTAAGTTAGTACTAAGTGATCAAAATGTCAATCCAGGAGGCGCTTCTGTCTTAAAGGGGCGATGCAAATATGTTTTTACTTTGCGGAATAGCGCTTAAAAAAATCCCACACGTTAATGACCAATGAAACACGCGTTTGTCTTTCTCCGTTCTTCGTGGGGAGAACGTGGGGAGAAACGTCGTTTTTCTGCCCAAGCGAGCAGCGTTAACCCCCTCAACTCGCAGCCAGGACAAGCGGCCGAGTGAAAAAGATTCGATTATATGCCGCCAATTCTGATCATAGCCAGGCGCTGGGGTTGGCAAGGCGCAGGACACGCGCTGAGTTTGACTATGTTATTGTTCGGCTCTTGTAGTCATTGCAGCGATTAGTTACGAACAACTATCCGAATGCTTCTCGAGCTATCGAGTATCCCGTGCCCAAATCTAATGCTCACGCAATGCTCGGGTCCAATCTATGATCCACATTCGAATATCGCCACGGGAAGATACTGCGATTCTCCAGCTACGTCATCAAGTTTCGCGAAGAAGAAATGGAACGAAAACGCTCGCTTTTGTCTTTGAAATTATACCGCAACACGAGTTTCTTCGTCAGTGGCGTTGCGTGCGAGTATCCTTAAATCCCACTAGTGCCACCAAGCTCGAGTAAAGCGAAAAATACTCCAATTTAATATCGTTGCACCGCCCCTTTAAAGGCTCTCCACAAAAAACACGGTTAGTGCGGCTCTCTACAAGAAAAAAATCAATATAGTCCAATTTTCAAATAGGTTATTCCATTCGGCACGCGTGTACTATTTCAGCAATGACATGAACCGCGCTGTCGGGCGCGAAACAGGCCGGTTTTTGTCTTCGTGGTCACCAACATCTCCTCCCTTTTCCTAGTTTCAGGAAGTTCCGGACGCATAACAGCAACCGGGATCTCGACTGGCAGAACGTGTGAATGCTAATGACTCCGCCCTTGGACCTACGCCATGAGCACATTTCAAGGACGTAGTCGGACGCCCGCTTTTTTCTCAGAAAAAAAAAAAAAAAATTTACACTGGACCGGAAGCGAAAGAAAAGCCTTCACCTCTGTCCGGCACCAGTCGTGGACGACAAAAACCCGGAGCGAATCCAAATCCTTTGTGGACAACACTTGAAGTGTCAGTGGCACCGATAATGCAACATACAAAAGACAATCTTCGGTCACTGTCTGAACCGTATTTGTTCCTTGTATGTCGGTCACATTGGTTATAAAAAACTGTCTGCGGACATCCATGAAACATACGAATGAATAAAAAAAATCATGCTTCGAAGTTGGTTGAAGAGTATCAGCTTATACTTGTTGTCTTACATGTCTGCCGCCAACTCTGTGTGTTTTGTGTGATGTATGAAGAGTGTGGCAGCTGTTCTACTCACCGTCCATTCCCATTCTTCTTAGAAGAAAATACGGCGGACGAGCCAGCACCTCGTCCTTGTTTAATCCTTCCTTTATTGACTGTACGTCATGCAGCACGAGTACGTCTGTTGACCCCATTTTGACCCTGGAATGGTATGGCAGGACATTATCTTTATTTCTTTATGGACAGAGCCTTTGCCACGAGGCCTCGTTGGGTGCCATTTATAGCATACAACAAGCGGGTTTGTTGAACTATGTTATCCTACGTCGGCGTAGGGCTAATAAAGATTAGCGAAAACGCACGTGGGTCGGAATTCTCGTCATTCTAATAAACTTTAAAGCATAGTGTTAGGTCAAATGTGCTGCGAATGTAGCGAATTTGCTTACGTGCATCTACTGAGATCAATCCGGTGTGCAAGCTCTCACATACATAAGCGTTTCTGACAAACGGCACTAAAAAAGCAAGCTAGACTTTTTTATTGTTTTTTTTTTGCTCTTGATGCCGAAGCATCACGGAGGAGGAAGGGGGGGGGGGGGGTGTTAAAAGGACGATGAAAACAAGCATACAATGCAGGTGGTTTCATATCGAGGATTGAAAACGGCGGATTTTAACGCGGCAGTTTTGGCGATTGAGACAATGGAGGCGCAGAGGTGGTTCCAATTGGTAAACGCCATGTGCAAATAAAGAAAACAACCCAACTTGGTATAATGTTTAGCATCGTACGCCAGAGGAGCGCAAGGAAACCTGGGAACGTCCTGTATGCTTTTCCTTACTCCAGCAGCGTGTACCGCATGATGCTGAATAGAGGGGGGATAAGAAACAAAGGGTAGAGCAGCTGCCAGGCTACGGACCCACTCGCCTCCGTTGCTTCCGTTGTCTACAAAGCCGTTCGTGAAAAGCCGCTTTCCAGATTACCTCTCGGCGCCGGAGGAGGACGCTGCTTGTTTTTCAAAAATATCAGTGCACAAAGCTTTCTGTGTGTTGTGCCTGTAGGCGTTAAATCTTATAGGCGAGCCTTAAACCTATTCGACAATTTGCATAGACATCTCTCGCAGATGCTGCGACCACTTAAGAATGCGCTTACCTTACGATCGGTCCGTAGATCTTGGAAAGTTCTTTGTATTTAACGTGGGGAGTGGGTCCAATAAATGGCATGTACCCGAGGATAGGAAGGCCTTTCGGTCCAGGAGCTAATATTTTGTTCTTGTCAGTAGCCCTGGACTTATCCTTGAAGAGCAGGACTGAGAGTATCAGTATTGCCACCATGGCAAGGATGATGTCCATCGTTGAAACGGCGTAACCGTAACGGATACCCTTGAATAAAACGACAGCCTTAAAAGGGGTTGCAATATGTGGTACCTAGAGCCGCTAAAGCACATACGCAGTGATCTCAAAACTCATCTGAGGGGGGGGGGGGGAGGGGGGGGGGGCAGATAGCGCACACCATTAAGGTCGAGGGCCAACGCAACACCGGGGGGAAGGAGGGGGGGGGGGTTCAGAAGATTTTAAAGGGAAGAGACCTCGTGTTCTATGCTTTTTGTGAACTCACAATTTTTGCCTGTGACATTTTGAGACATTTTTACATTGAGGCCTGACCTCATGTAATAAAAGGAATTAAAATGACACCACCCGCCAACGTGCTGATATTTTTAATGGAACAAGAGAGCAAGAACTCTGTCCTTCCCGTTGCTCAATTAACCCAGGAATTGTCCAAGCTAAACATGTCTTTAAAAAAACGATCAGTTTATTCGAGAGTTATTGCTTTCCTCCCGATTTTTATTAAAACGCTGTGGACAGATACTTGTCTTTTACTGGTAATATATTTTTAAAGGCTAGAATCCCGAGCGCTTAGCTTTATCTTTGGTAGCTACTGTTGCTGATTAAGAGTCCGCGTAGCCCGAGATGCATCCTTCAACGAATAGTTCGTGCTTTCAGCAGTAGTAGAATTGTTGTACATTACAAAAAGCTGGAAAGCAAAGAGCTAATCGAAACAAAGGGCAAATGAACACAGATAAGTATAAACTTTATGCGAATATGTTAACATACCAGAGCTATTTTTCAAGCGAAAATGAATCGACGAGGTGAGATGACTATGGCGCATGCTATTTCTAGCGTTCGAGACATGGGAACTGGGAGTTGTAGCCGGTTGCCTGCGGGCCGCGTACCAGCGAATCGCGGGCCGCATGCCGCCCGCGGGCAGCGTGTTTGAGACCCCTGGCTTAGAGTATCAGCACTCAATCCTGCGATATTTTTGTGCGCGCCGCCATTTTATTGGTTATTAAAGATAGGGTGCAATTGGCAATTACTACAATTCCAGAATGCTACTTCCTCAGAGTGAGTCATGGTGTAAGGAAAGAAAGGCGACATCATTTTAACGTGTTGCGGACTGTTTTAACATTTCGGTATTACGAGTAACCGTTTCCTGTGATTTTGGAGAAAGCTTCAGAAAACTGCCAACAATAATTTAAAGCTCCAAAATGGCGGAAGTCTCGTTACTTTGAAGCGGCATTCTGTTAGGGGTTCTAGATGGGATCACAGTGAAGCTCGTAAGGTGAGCCGACTTTTGGTCATTGAACCTACAAATAGCTCGTGTGATTTGAAGAAGCTTCCGGAAGATAACATCTCACGTTTTAACGTTTAACGTGTGTTTAGTTACGAATATAAGACGTTTCACGCCTTATATTCGTAATTAAACACAAAGGGGACTCAGTTCCGGACGCACTTCTTTGTATCTTCGAAAAGGGCTGGCACTTGCATACGGGCCACGGGGATAGTGTCTATCTACCGGGCGTCCCAAATAGCAGGCAGGCTCTTTAAATCGACCTCAAAATTTGGTTTCTTGAACTATCGTGCTACGATTTTGTGCTGCGTTGCCCACTGATGGCCCATATCTTTTGTAAAATTTGCAAAGAGCGAACTTATATGAAGAAAAAGTAAAAAAAAAAAGAAAAATCTTCACTTGTATTGAAATACAGCGAAGGCAGCGCTCATCAAACAATAGAAAGCCCTATTGTTTGAAGACCGGTGGCTTCGCTGCATCTCCACAAGCGTTAAGACTTTTTTTCTTTTTTTCCTTTTTCCTCAGGTAAAGCCTCTTTTTGCAAATTTTTACAAAAAGATGCACCATCTGTGTTCAGCGCTGCACAAAATCGTAGCGCGATAGGTTAAGAAACCAAATTTTGCGGTCGATTTAAAGAGCCTGCCTGCTATTTGGGACACCCCGTAGATTAACATTCATAGCTATAGCACTGTTATTTTTATTTTATTTAATTGCTTCGCTATAAAAATGTCGAGAGCACAAACATGTCAGACAAAAAACGTAAAAAAAGACCTGGTAAAAACAAGCCAAATCTCGCTAACGCTAAGAGTCAAGGCAAGAAAAGAAAATGTCCCATGGTCGACAAAAGTTATCATAAGACGGACGTACACAACCACTATAAGGACATTTTCTAACTATCAATTTCCAACAGTTGCTTATTATCTGCGAATACGGACACTTGAAAGAGCTTGACTTGAAGTTTCCAACATATAAAAGCTTACTCAAGCGAAAAATCAGCAAGTGATGACTTACCTTCCAAAGAAATTGCGATGGAGGAGAACTGGACATGGCCACGTCACCAACGCAAAAGACAAAGAGCTTCAAAGGGTTCCAGCATAAAACTTCGCTCCAGCTTCAATAACGCTCAATTACCTAGAAGCACTTAGAGGGCTGGCGTTTGCAAAATTATGAGCATATACTTAGCATCGCGACAGGGACTCCCGCTATATTGATATAAAGGGCTGGTATCACGCACTGGCTTTATCCACTCCAAAGGGACAGAAACGTCAGTCCGGTGGTGTTGCTGGAAGCCTCCCCTTTCCTCTTGTCCGTCCTGTTGAGATAAAAGATTATCGAGGGTAGTCGGGACAATAAACGGTGGTTGTAACCAAGACAAACGGCGAAGACTACAATTTTATCTGTTTTTTTTTTTCGTCGCTGATGTCTATAATATATTAACTTTCCCCCAAAAAACGTGCCCTAAGTATCTTCCCACTAATTCACATTCTCACAACCACGCCAAAAGATTGGAAGCCGATTTTCCATGCTAGATATGACGTTTTCGATGTGACTCGCTTGTTTGAAAAAGAAATAAAAAAAAAGATAGCTTTTAGGTTTGCAGGGTTTTTTTTTTTCTCCTAGAAATAGCTTTTAATTGAGGAAAATCAGAGACCGAGTGTGTTGGCACATTGCAGCTCGAGTCATATGAGGCGAAAGCTCCCGCTGGAGAACCCAGGAATCCTAGGTTCAATCCCCAGGCTTACCCGTTTCGATCTAAATGAGCATCGTACCGGCGTGCGGTCGTGTATTCCTAGTGCGTGGTACACGTCAAGGACCCCAGGCTAGTGGTTTGTACAGCGCTGGCTAAATTTCTCATCTACAGTAGGTAACAATGTCGCCATATGCCGGCAGACTAATTTCAGCGCTGTTTAAACTACTACCGACAATTTGTTTTGTCTTGGATTGTAAATGGCCCTCCGTGTTTACGGGTACAGTTCTCAAAAATCGTAGATGATTTTATTCACGGGGCTTATTTTTCATACGGATTCAATGATTCCTCTTTGTGTCGGAGAAAAAGATCTGTGTTGGGCTTGCACAAGTCTAAGACGAAAACAGGTAAATGTTGGGGGGTTGTATTCCTCAGCCTCCGGAGATTCCGCGTCTGACCCGAATACTGAGAAACCGTCCCGGTACCAATAAAATAAAGATAAGAAGAAGGAGGGGGTGGTCGTTTCCCAAGAAATAAGGGCCGACGCGGAATGTTCAGTGCAAGCGGTGCTTCGGGTCTTCACAAAATAAGCTTTGTACACATTTTTCCCCCCGCAGGGGGCACCTGTGAAAGCAGGTGTTTGGAGAGTGGCGTCTCCACGGACCCCGAGCTCCGCAGGGGGCGCTTGCACCTTAGGTGCTAGGTGCTTGGTCAGTAGCGTCACCACGGACCCCAGTCGCGTGGGCCACCATACCCGCACGCAGGGGGCACCTACTTTAGTAGGTGCTTGGTGAGTGGCGTCACTACGAACCCCGAGCCATGTGGATTCGCCCGCCCACGTCTGGCTGTGCGTGGCGTACCCGTGTCCGGGGAAAGGGGGACCCTGGTGGTTGGGCTGAGCCCGGGGTATGTTTGGACCCTTCGGGGCCCCCCGGGTGAGGCAATACACCGCTTCGACCCCTGGTTCTCGTAGACGGGTGTCCTGGCTTGGCCCGACCAGGATGATTCTGTCAGTCGCCTCTTCTACCCTCTTCTTCCTTCTTTCACTTTTCCTTCCACCTCTTTCTCTTTTCTTCTGCACTCTCTTCCTTCCTTTTTCACCTTCTTAGGCGGCAAGGGCTAACCTTGAGTGGATACAGGTTCTGTCCCTGCAACCACACTAGGGTATAGTGCCCGGGCAGCACTGGTAGAGTAATTGTGTCAGCCAAGCCTTTCTTGTTATGGCACATTACCTACCCCCTTGTTGGGCTCCGTGGTGGGCGGTGCACGCGGGCACTGAACTTCCTTTCCCATTTTATGGGTTCCCGTGCTAAAACCGTCCTCGATCGGCCCCTGAAAAGGGTCCGCACCGAAGTTCAAGCTGCAAAGAAGACACCACCGACATCTGCCAGATTCCCCAAGTTTTTAGTTGTTCACTCCGAAAGTGACAAACAGCTTTCGAAATTATCGCCTTTCCTTGTCGCAAAGACACTCGAGGGTGTGGTCGGCGAGGAGTTTAAAGCAAAAAAATGCCATCTGGCGACCTACTTGTCGAGATCAAATCAAGCGAGCAGAGTACTGCACTACTTAGTTTAACATCTATTTCTGGATATGACATCTCTGTCTCTCCCCACCGAACATTAAACAGCATTCAAGGGGTTATCTCAGAGGATGACCTTCTTGACACCTCTGAGAGTGAAATTGTTGCAGGCCTTTCCGACCAATGTGTCACAGCTGCAAGGCGGATCACCATGCGTCGTGACGGGAATGAACTCAAGACCAAACACGTTGTACTCACTTTCCAATCGACAACCCTTCATGAGGCTGTGAAGGCTGGGTGCCTTCGCTGCAGGGTTCGGCCTTATGTGCCGAACCCCCGTAGATGTTTTAAGTGCCAGAGATTCGGCCATGGCTCTCAGAGCTGCCGTGGAAAGGCCACCTGTGCAAAGTGTAGCAAGACTGACCACGAAGCTGATGCATGTACTAACAACCCACGCAGTGTAAACTGCTCAGAAGCTCACCCAGCATATTCCAGATCATGCAAAACATGGAAAAACGAGAAAGATATCCTCACTTTGAAAGTTAAGGAAAACCTTTCTTTTCCTGAAGCACGCCGTCGCTTTGCATTCGTGCAGAAAGGTGGCTACGCCCAAGTGGTGCAGTGGGGACCTGCACCACTGAAGATTGCAGTGGCAACCCAGACGTCCTTTCTGGACTATGGGAAGCCACGGCAGTCCCCCACGCCCCAGCTGAAGATTCAGCTTCCGGGGCGTGAAATCTCGGCTGGGCGGTCTTCGGACCTTCCAAGCCAGGGTGCGAATCCTCTCGCTCCAACAGGGCAACAGCCTGTGTCTTCTCAGGCTGTTTTCCAAACCCAGTATGGGCCGGTAGCTCCCGCAACCGTCCCTTTTTCGCGATCTCCTTCCAGGGAGAAAGGTCGACATTCTCGCCCACACTCCCTGGAGAGACCATCACCAAAGGAGCGGCATGGCTCTCGTGCCGCACCTGCAATGCCTAAGAGACAGGAACGGGTGGACTTGAGCGACGCTTCGCCCAGTACCTCGTCTGCCTCTTCGGCGGGGGCTGGTCGCGGGCGAGGCATGGCGCCCCGTTCCCCGAAACTGAACAAATCTGCAGAAAAAGCCTCGCCTCAGGAAACTGAGGCCATGGATGAGTGTAGAGAAGTCTCCACTCATACGTCTGACCAAGACGATATGGAGTGGCAGACTATTAAAAAAAAGCAGAAAAGCAAAAAACCGGTAATCCCCCCAACGTGACATTGCGAATTAATTTTTGCCACATGCGGCAGCTTTAGAACTTTTATTTATTCTCCCAGTTTTTTTTTCTTTCTTTATTCATATTTTAACTCACTTTTAAAACAATGACCAACTTCCACTTTATGCAGTGGAACTGCCGTGGCCTAATCAGAAATATTGATGACGTAAATTATTTTATGGACGAGCTGAGACCCATTGCACTCAGCCTCCAAGAAACACATTTAAGTCACACTAATACGCAGATTTTACGTCAGCACCAGGTTTCTAGAAAAGGCAGAATTTCCTCAAACTCGTCTGGAGGAGTGGCACTAGTGGTGCAGAATGGTGTTGCTTGCTCTGAGGTCCCCCTTTCTACACCCTCAGAGGCTGTAGCGGTGCGCCTTCTTGTTCACCGTTTGATCACGGTAGTTTCTCTTTATCTGCCTGCTAACTCTCCGCTGCATATCAGTGAACATGAGCCACTTGTAAAACAATTACCTCAACCTTTTTTTAATTTTAGGCGATTTTAATGCCCACCACCCTTTGTGGGGTAGTGCTCGCCAAGATTCACGTGGAGGTGTCGTAGAGCGGTTTTTATTATCATCTGGGTTGTGTCTTTTTAATGAGAGGGAACCTACATTTTTTTAGTGCAGCACATCAATCGTTCACATCTATTGACCTTTCTATTGCATCACCAATTTTACTTCCATGCTTTTCATGGACTGTTTTAAACAACCCTTTTGGGAGCGATCATTTCCCTATTGTTCTTGAGAGGACGATGCCAATACCTTCTATTCCGACACAACTTCCAAGGTGGAAATTGGAAAAGGCTGATTGGTCTCTTTTTTGTTTGGAAGCATTTATTGATTCATCTGTTCTTGTAAACATGAGCCCTGAAGATGCTACGCTATGTGTTACTGAAGCTATTATAAATGCCGCATCACGCTGTATCCCCCAGACGTCTGGACGACTCCCCAAGAGGTGCAAGCCCTGGTTGAACGATGACTGCACCACAACACGCAAGTCGCAAAACAAGGCATGGTGCATCTTCTGACGTTATCCTACTTCTAGGAATTTACTTGAATTCAAGAAAAGAAGAGCCAAAGCTCGCTGGACGCGAAGGCAAGCGAAAGGCCGGTCTTGGAAGAAGTATGTCACCTCTTTGAGCAGCTTTGTTTCTTCAAAGGAAGTGTGGGGTCATCTCAGGGAGATTAGGGGAGACTATCGGTCTTTCAGGATACCCCTCTTTCCATCAGCAACATCCCTGAGGGAACAAGCAAATATTCTTGGTGAACACTTCCAGGAAATTTCTAATTCAGCCAACCATAGTGAATCCTTTAAGAGGTTTAGATCAGAAGCAGAAAAACAAACTATTTCTTTGTCTGGTGGTCAGGGTGCTCCTTATAACAAGCCATTTACACGGTGTGAGCTTGAGTTGGCTCTCGGCGTCAAAAAGAAATCTGCGGCTGGGCCGGATAGGATTCAGTACGAGACGCTAAGAAGACTGTCGCCTGAATCCCTAAGCAGTTTGCTCACTTTTTTTAATTTATTGTGGGATGCTGCTTGTTTTCCGGACTGCTGGAAAATGGCACACATAATCCTTCTACTGAAACCCAGCAAAAACCCCTCTTTACCGACAAGTTACCGCCCAATTGCTCTGACAAGCTGCCTGGGCAAAACCTATGAGAGACTCGTTAATCGCCGCCTTGTACACTTTTTAGAGGCAGAGGGTGTTTTTGATAGAAATCAGTGTGGCTTCCGAGCAGGCCGCTCCACAGTAGACCACCTTGTCCGCCTGGAGACTTCTGTTCGGGAGGCATTTGTCCATCGCCAGCACTGTGTCTCTTTCTTTTTTGACCTGCAAAAGGCTTACGACACGACTTGGAGATATGGAATCCTTCGAGACTTGTACTCATAGGGTGTCCGAGGTCGCATGCTTCGCTGTATTCAAAGCTTCTTGACGGGTTGGACCTTCCAAGTGCGTTTGGGCTCCATCCTGTCGGATGTTTTTCTCCAGGAGAATGGCGTCCCTCAGGGTGGAGTATTAAGCGTTACACTTTTTGCCGTGTAGATTAATAGCCTGGGAAAGGTTATACCACCATCTGTATCCTATTCAATGTATGTGGACGATGTGGAGATATTGTTTTCCTCTTGTAACTTGTCCAGCTGTGAACGGCAACTGCAGCTCACAGCCAATAAAATGAGCAAGTGGGCTGATCAAAATGGCTTTAGGTTCTCCCCCGTAAAGACAATACCTGTTCCCTTTTCACTCCACCATGGCCTGTTTCCAGATCCAGTGTTGCACTTGAATGATGTTGCTATATCTGTAAAGGAGGCCCACAAGTTTTTAGGAATAATATTTGATA